GCTGTCAGCCCCATGCATGGTGGGGCTCCCACTGTCAGCCCCGCACATTAATGACTTTAATATAGTTGCAGCAAAATGTCTAGTTGTCAAAAATCTAGCAGGCATAACATAATACTTGAGTGCTTATATTGTGGAAGCATACTTTTTCTCAAACAAATAGTCTTCTCTGGCTTTTCCAAATGACTGCAATTAATAAAGGTCCATTGTTACTTTTTCGCAGTTTTCCATGTCTTGTCTGCAACTTGGTGCAATTATTTGACAATCGTCCCACGATTCAAGTAGTAAAGTAAGTAAGTAAACTTGCTTATAGCCATTTTAGTCATTCTGAAATAGAGATGTGTTGCTTCCAAAGTGGATTAGTTAAAGTGGGATCAGACACCAGATAAATTGGAAAAAAAAAAAAAACACTTTGGGGGGAGAGATGAGAGGAAGCCAGGCAGTTTATGTCAAAAAACCCAAAGTTATACACAAGAGAAAAAAAATCCATCCATTCCTGTGTAGACAAGTCTGTGTCTCTGCGGCGTGTAGAGTATATACACTGCACACACCCCTAGCAGGGATATAAATAGCAGCATAGATGGTGAGGCACTGCTTAGGAGAATAAAGACATGCCCGAACCTTTGGGTATGTACGCTATACTGCTCTCTACAAGGTCAAGCCGTGCTGCCCATGTCTGCAGTGCTATTTTCAACAGAGTAGTTTCCCACAGCTTCCCCACTGCCAGAGCCTTATGTGTAACTGCACCTACACGACACTCTGCCACCAGTGTAGACAAGGCCCTTTGATGTGGTACAGTATATGTTCTGGGGAGCACCCAGTTTCCTGGCTCCTTTGTAGCCTGGCCCTTCAATGCTGTAGAACTAAAGATAGTCTGATTTCTGTTTATTTTTTAATTGAAAATTTCCATGGACATTTTTGAGTTTTTACGAAAAACTCAAGGCCAAAACTTGTTTTTCCCTGAAAACTTGAAGATACAAAGATTTCGTCTGAACATCAAAAGCTGTCATCTGAAATCTTTTGGTCTTCAGCTGAAATATGTGGATGAAAAAACAATTGTTTTCCTGTGAAAAGCAGGCACTGTTCGCTATATAGTTTCATCAACAACCCAATTTTCTCTTGAAACAGAGTTTGGGTGGAAAAATTTCAACCCGCCCTATGTAGACTGTCCAGAGGACTCAGGCCTGTCACCTGCTGTCAGCCTGGGGTTTAGTACTTCTGCCAGCACAGTGAGTCTGGCTGGGTGTGTAACCCACTCACCTACTGGGTGTGGTGTTGTGTCCCATTTAGTGGCACCGAGACCACTTCGGGCTTGTCTACACTTACATTTTATAGAGCTCTAACTTGCTGGCTCAGGGGTGTGAAAAATCATCCCCCCCCCCCAGCGCTGGGAGCTATTCCCCTGGTGGAGGTGGATTACCAGGAGTGCTGGGAGAGCTTTAACTGTGACCACACTCGCACTTCAAAGCGCTGAGGTGGGAAGACTCCCACAGCAGCGCTTTGAAGTTTCTAGTGGCAGTAGCCTTAGAGAGAGAGTTAAATGCGGCTGCTCTACAAGGTTAGCTAACAGACAGGTGGCTTTTAGCGCGTGCTGGAGAGGCTCACGCACCAAGCTCCAGACGTCTCCAGTTCGATCCCACCTGCTGCCGACCTGGGTCTGTCGGGCTCCAGGTGCACACCGGGTAAATGACTTTGGCAAAGATCACACAGGATGTCAGAGGCGGAGAACCCACGAGGCCCTTATCCCTTGGCCCCTAGCTAGCCCGCAGGGGGTGCCCGCCTCTCTTCAGCCCATTTGCCTTTGGCCTCCCTGTCTCACACAGTGACGCTGCAGCGCTCAGGCCGGCTGCTTTCTTGGTTTCCCCGCTTCAGTCCCCCGCCCTGGCTTCATGGCACCTGCAGCTGCATAGCCCAGTAGGGCCTGAACGCCAAGCCGCCTGTTAGGGGTGCGCAACAGCAGCAGCCCCTTGCGGAGAGCGGCTGGGGAGATTCTGCTCTGCCCATGCAGCGCTCCCGGCCGGCATTACCGGGCAACACCGCCAGGGGGTGCAGGAAGCGCTGAGCAAGGCAGGAGCCCCAGCCTGCAAAGGCGGAGGGGCAGGCTGCCCTGCTCAGAGAGCCTGGCCGTCGCCAGGTACCTGTGCGAGGGGTGGGCCAGGAGCAGTGCGCCTCTAGGCCACTGTGTGGCGCTCCTAGCACAGGCATCAGCGTCTGCTTGAGCAGCTGCCAGAGCTGGGACCCTTGGATGCTGAAATAACTCACATTCTTCCTACGTGTCACAGCTGGGAGCGCAGTTCAGTGTCTGTCCCATGATCTCCCCGCTCCCGCGCCTCCCCCTCGGGTTGCAGGCCGAGATGCGACTCGCCTCGTCAGTCGCACAAACTCCGCAAAAGTCGTTTGTTTTTTAAATCTTGCAGGAAATAAAAAATGCAGCGATTTGAGCCTTCTGCTGCAGGGGCGTCTAAGCAGGGGCCCTGGGCAGAGTCTCCCTCAGCCACTGAGCCAACCATGTGCTGATAAACAATGACCATATTGTGAAATAGAAAACAGACTCCCGCTCCTTATAAAATGCTCTCTCCCTACCGGATGTGTTAAATAAAAACCACTGAGAAAAACAGAAGAAAGTCAAGAAAATCGGGTTCAGACTGGTAAAGATGGGGGCAGGAAAGCCAGAGAGAAACTGGCGAGGGCCAGTAATCCTCCCTCAGGTGGACTAAGGGACAAGAGATGTACCTTTTCAAAAAATCAGCTGTTTGGTTGTGTGATTATCTGTGGGGGGGGTCCTATTATTATTTTAATATTAAAACTTCTAACTCCAGGGGCCTGTGAATAATACAAAGGAACCAGCGTTCTGTTCTGGAGGATTGTAACCCAGATGCACAAAGGCAGCTGCAGATGACCATGTCATTAAGGTTTGGCTGGTAAATCCAACTCCGGTTTTGGACCGTGCCTCAGAGTAGCGCGATGTCCGCACTATATTGCGCTTTATTTTAGTCTTTCAAACGTTACTATCTTGCCTGGGCGTGTTGAGGTGCATTGCCCAGGAATTTATGGTACAAAAGCGTCTCTCGCTCTCCCTGCTTCATCTGGTTAAAATCTCCACCGTCCCTACCAAATGGATGCAAATTGGACATTTTAATAAACTTGCTTTCTCCCCCACCCCCAGTGGTAAACAGATCCCCCGCCCTCTCCGCCCCTTTTTTTAAAAAGTATTTGCAATTGATTTGAGTAAGTGATTCATATAATTAAATGGTTAGGGATTTGTTTAATGTGATTTTATATGAGCTGCGGACATTTCCAAAGCAAACAATGAGTTCAAGTACAACATACATGGTTGTGTTACAAGTGTTACCCAGCTGGCTAGGAGATCTTCAGAGAGCAAACAGTCTAAATCTGGAGAGTAAACAGCTTCAGAAAAATCTACAAGTCCCCAGGTCACTGAAAACAGCCTTTTATTTGTTTTCCCTAATGTCTAGTAAAATCTGATACATTTTTGCAGTGCTATTGTAAAATACTTTGAGACGGGCGCTCACCGATCTATTTCTGTTTTAAGGGGACCTGGGGCTGCTTTGGCGGGGGGTTGTTGTATGTGTGCTTTTATTTAACTGCTCTGCGGTGTGGATCTAGTGCTACATTTACTCAAGACTATATTTTGATCATCATAGAGAGACCAGTGTTAAGGGGGGTTGTGTATGGTTTTGCTGCAAATAAAAGAATGGCTCTTGAAAGCAGACCTCGTTAAACCAGTCTTTGGGGGCAGTGGGATTGTTATGTTCTAAGGGGGGAAATATTTTATACCAAATTTAAAAAAGCCCAAGCAGACTGGAAAGGACATTATATATGTATCTTAGTACATAGAACTTAGAAGGATGAGTGAAAGTTCTGGGATGGAGAGGAGACCGCATAAAACCTGAATGGTAACTGATTTAACTACAAAACATCTTCCCACCAGCCATTTTTTTATGGAAGTAGCTCCAGAAATAACTCTTGGGGCAAACCCTCAGTTAAGAAGCACAGCACGCTTTCTCCCATTTCTACGTGTCACCCTGTCCTTTCTTTAGGTGCCATCGATTTCCCCAGCCTCTCTCTCTGGTCACATCAACAGCGGGGTCATTTGCAACGAGACAGTTTTAAACCTCCAGAGCTACGGTCGTGTGAAGCAATAGCATTATCGAGCCATGGGGCTTGAGGAAGGCGAGAAGGATCCGGCCCGTTGGGATTCGGTCCTGTGTGAAAGGCACCTGGCAGTCGCGTGGGGCTGTGTTACACACTTATTCCAATGGCGAGCGTTGCACAGCCATGGAACCCAGGTAACAGAGAAACTTACTAGACCCTGTCCCGTGCTCAAGTCTCCTGCAAACCCCTGTTGATATCAATGGGGAGTTCGGCTGGAAAACTGATACCCCGGGATGAGGTCTTTATTGCATGCCGTGATTGGACTAGATCTATTTTACATTCATTCGTTGTATTTAACAGAAGTTCTGCGGCATGTCTCTGAGGGGAGGAAGAGCCCCCGGATGAGAAAGCTACTGATTTGTTTCCCACCAAATCAGAATTCAGAATTTAAATCAGAAATGTCCGCTACGTTAGTTACAAATACTGAAGAAGCCAACACATTGAACTCCAGTGTAATCCCCTTTCTCTCTGGACTTCCCTTCGTTATTGATCTCGCAGCAATCTACCGGTATGGGGCCAAATGTATCCCTGGTCTGAATTCACGGCAGTGCGTGGACTTGCACCAGGGATGAATTTAGCTCCTTGTATGTATAGAGCAGCAATGGTGACGATCTTTCACCAACCGTGGTGTCTATAATATTTGCACTTCTCTCTCCAGCTGACTGGGGAGCAGAGAATCTTCTGATACCGATGTTATGCCTTGTGCATTGCTGTTGTTATTCACTTTAAAAGAGCTTGAAATGGACTTTTTCCCCCCCCCCCTAGCAAAGCTTTGTTGTGCAAAACTAGTTGGACGAGTTAGGGTGTCGCTGCTCCTGATTGCTCTGGCCAATGGAACCCGATCCACCCTGCTGTGCGTAAGAGCGCAATTAAGGATTTAACCAAGCCTATGCTGCGCCCCAGCCAGCAGTCTGCCAGAGACAGAGACAGACACAGAGACTCAAAGACTCCCAGCCTCCTCCCCCAGACATGTCTGCTTAGCCCTGAGCAGCCCCAGCAGCCAGCCCCAGCAAGCCGCCGTCTCCAAGCTATGACAGGAGTATTTGACAGAAGGGTCCCCAATATCAGATCCAGCGATTTCCAGGCTCCTTTCCAGACGTCTGCAGCCATGCACCATCCGTCTCAGGAATCTCCAACTTTACCCGAGTCCTCGGCTACGGATTCTGACTATTATAGTCCAACGGGGGGAGCCCCGCACGGCTATTGCTCGCCTACCTCGGCTTCCTACGGCAAAGCGCTCAATCCGTACCAGTATCAGTACCACGGCATGAATGGACCTGCTGGGAACTATCCTGCCAAAGCCTATGCAGACTACGGCTACGCCAGTCCTTACCACCAGTACAGCGGGGCTTACAACCGGGTTCAGAGTTCTTCAAACCAGCCAGGTGAGAGCTGGGGTGGGGGGTGGAGGTGGCCTGGATTAATGGGGGGACATCTTGCTGGTGCGGAGGGGGAGGAAATTGACGCGATGAGAAACAGTTTGGGGGAGTAGTGGCTGCTGGGAACCCAAAACCTCAGAGCAGAATGATTCCCCGAGAGGGTTGCTGGGATGGATCCTTCCTCGGACAGTTCTGGGTGCCTGGCTTCATGGCGTTTTAACATGTATCTTGCGCAGTTAGCGATCCTTAAATGGGGTGGGAATAAAGCCACCGAATTAATCTGCATGATCTGAAAACTCCTCTCAGAAGCAGCCATCCATTAGCAAAGCAAATGCTTGTAAATTGCCCAGGGCCTCTGGGGCTGCCTCCCGAGAAATCTAAGTAAAGAAAGAGAAAGAATGTCGGGAGCTTGTCTCAAACGCCGGCTTCTTGTAACCGTGGAAAGCGAAACTCTGAAGTTTGCTTCTCCCACCCCTCCCGGCCCCCGCGGCTGGGAAAATCCCTAGGAAGGGAAGGGTGCGGATCTGGCCGGAATTCTACCCCCAAAACATTGAAATGTCTGACTGCTTGTGCCGTTTGCAATGTTCTGCTTTAGCCGATCGGAGCCTGCTTCGCGATGAATGTCGTGAGGACATTGTGGTGTTCACGGCTCGGCCAATGGCTGGGGGAGGGCAGGCTCGGGTGTGGAGGGGAGAGATCTAGCTTTGGGAAAGGTTTCTGGTCCGATCTGATCTGGTCCCAGAAGTTCATGTTTAATCCTGCTCGTATTTAGCATCCCGTTCGTGTGCGGAATGAAAACCACCCGCCCGCGCGCGAATCTGCTTCTCTGGGGCTCTTCTCACACTGGTCAAGATGCACACTCAGGGGCAGACGGATTTACTGGGGTACCTTATCTTTCCCCTGCCCCCACCCCTTTGTGAAACAGATTGGATCGCACACCAGACTTTTCCAGTAGCAGTCCCAATGGATTGCAGCCTCTGCAATTCTCTCCCGCCAACCTCTTACGTCATTATATACACAGCTATTCGCTTTCACGTTTTGTCCCTGTCGTTTGCTCTTGCTCATCAACTCAAAGGGAAAATAAAGGCCACTGGCGTATTAAGGCTATTTGTAAAAGAAACCAGACGCATCTGCGCGCCCTTTGCAGATCAGCGGCGAGATGATTATAACTATAATCGGCCCTCTGTCTGAGCCGGAGCCGGCCACTTTCTGTCGAGCTGAAGGAGGCCAGTTTTCTTGTGGGCCTTTGAACTGTGTAGACCTCAGTATCGCGTCTTCCCAGCCTGGCCGCCTGGGCTCTGCGGGCTGGAGTTCGAGACAGCGCAGCCTGCAATGCGGTGGCTGTCACTCGCCCGAGGGGGGAATGGAGGGATGAAATGTACTGCCCCGTGCACACCCCCCATAACTGGGCTCCTTCACAATGGGACTTCAGAGGTTTAAAAACAACAACAACCCTGAACGACTTGTAGGCTGGAAGGAACTGATCTGCCTCCCCCAATACATTTCACAAAGAGTGAACGGAAAGTGGTTAGGTGGGAGATTACTCCATTTACCCCTGCTCATTTCTTCACCTCTATTCCACCAGTGGTTTTAAATAGCCCTTACCCCGCGCGGGTTGTGTTTGCAGAGCTGGCGCCGGCAGTGGCTGGGCGAGTGGGCTGGATCTTTGCTCTTTTTCTCCACTGGGGACTTGATTTTTCCGGGAAACTCTAACCTGGTCTATTTTGGATTGTTTAGAAAAAGAGGTGGCAGAGCCCGAGGTGCGAATGGTGAATGGCAAACCAAAGAAAGTGCGCAAACCCAGGACTATTTACTCTAGCTTCCAGCTGGCTGCCTTACAGAGGAGGTTTCAGAAAACTCAGTACCTAGCCCTGCCAGAAAGAGCTGAACTGGCTGCTTCTTTGGGACTGACACAGACACAGGTAATGCAGCCTTGGGACCTATTGCGTTTTCCTTGTCGGTATTAAGACGGTCTTTCTCACCCACCAGAGAGGAGAGCCGACACCATTGGTGAGGGATAGAAACAGTAGCCGGATCCAATGCATTAAGACGCGCGAGAGAGGCCTGCTGTTCTTGAAACGGGCCGGGTGGGTTTTGGTTCCTTGTTGTGATGGTTGATTTTTGATTCCAATCTCTGTGTTACATACAGCTCTATATTCAAAGGCTTAGGAGCTCTCTGGCGTTCACACGCAGGAGCCGGGGTCTGCGTAAAAAGGGGAGCGGGGGGATGTGATGGGGTCACTCGCACTTCTCTGCTTGAAGGCTTCCAGATCCATATGCAGAGAACAACTCCCTGGGCACCTATCTCCAACGTTGCCCATTACAAACATAACCTGTCACTGTTACCTTCCGGGTTGAATTCATGGCACAGAAAGCGATAGATCGATGCGCTGGCCAGCCGCCCACCCGGCCTGCTTCTCTGGGGCGAGACTGGCGCGGTTGTCGGTGGTGTTTACAATCTGTCTCCGGAAAGGCACTGGAACAAAAATAATCCTGGTGGCTGTGCAGAGCCGGCTCAGTTTGCCAGAGAGCGCAGAGACGGCAACAGACGGATCTGAATCAGACGCGGTTCTCTCGCTTGCCTTCACTCCCCTCCCACCCCACCCCCACCCCCTTCCTTTGAAATGTTTTTGTGGGCTTCTATTACCCTCCCATAAAGAAAATACTTCAGAAAGAGACGGCGGTGGCTTTCGCAAGGTAATTGCGGCAAGGCACTGCCGTCCGCAGACAAGGGAGGGGTAGCGCAGGGGCAGAGTACCTCCCGACCGGACCCGATCTTGCATCCCTCGAGCCTGGAGCCTTAAGTTGGCCCGCAGGATCGGGCCCGACCCGGTCGTTGTAAATGCCACACTCGGTAGTAGATTGCTCTGGGTAACTGACCAGCTGGTGTTCGGAAAGATTTAACTCGCTTCTCTCCCCTCCTTGACTGAAGACAGACCCTAATCTTAGCCTGTTGCCTCAGATCGTTTCACATTACGCTGGTATTAATCGTCTTGATTTCCCCTCCTCTCAGGTGAAAATTTGGTTTCAGAATAAAAGATCCAAGATCAAGAAGATTATGAAAAACGGGGAGATGCCTCCGGAGCACAGTCCCAGCTCCAGCGACCCCATGGCGTGCAACTCTCCACAGTCACCTGCGGTTTGGGAACCTCAGGGCTCTTCCAGATCCCTCAGCCATCATCCTCATGCTCCAAACTCCAACCCATCCCCTGCATCCAGCTACTTAGAAACCTCCACTTCCTGGTATTCCAGTGCTAACTCCCTCAGTTCCCACCTCCAGCCCCACGGCTCCCTACAACACCCGTTAGCGCTGGCCTCTGGGACAATTTATTAGACTATTTTTTTCCCCTGGACTCCTGTGTTTTACTGTTAAGGAATCATAACGAAAGGAATGCCTGTGGGGGAGTTTTAAAGGGAAACAAAACAAAACAAAAAAGATTAAATGTGTAACGCTTGTGCATGTAACTTATTGCATTTCAAAGGAGACCCTTTTTTTACAGACGGACAATTTTTGCTCAGCTGTGGACACTATCAATGGTGCCTTGAAATCTATGACCTCAACTTTTCCAGAGACTTTTTTTCCCAATGTTATTTTAACCCTGTAAATAAGTGTAGATAGAGGGATTAAACTGTATATTCTGAATAAATAAAATTATTTCGACCACGAGAGACGTTTCCAAAATACCCCTTCTTCCATTGCAAGGAGAAAAAAGAACAGCGTCCTTTGCTTTCCTTGTTTGGTGGCGAGATAGATTTTTAGGGCCCGATCCTTGTGCAGATAACGACTCCTTGCTCAAAGGCGCAGCCTCATTGGAAGCACTATGGACTGTAAAAGTTTACAGGCTCTGGCCCGTGTAGCCCCCCCCCCCCCTTGTAAATCTAGAGCTGCCCGCTAGGGCAGCTTTCATCTGGAGAATGGGCTTTTCAAAGACAATTTGCACTTTACCCAACATTATTTACCATTAAAAGAAACGTACAAATTTTAACACTGGGAAAGAGAAATCTCCCAGTAAAGCCCCTCTGAATCCTGGGCAGAGAGCAATTAGCCTTGAGAGCTCCGCACTCTTCAGTCGCTGTGTGCGCTAGGGTAATTATACAAATTACATTTCCTTCAAAGGAGGCTTCTAAATGCGACAAAAGGATAAAATGAGGGCAAAACTCCCCTTGTGCCTATTAAAAAGCGTGCGTCGGGTAGAGGCCAGCGGTACCCTGTGAATAAGGGATGTTGGAGGAACCTTTTTAACTCTGTTCATGGAAAAGCCCAGACCTCCAAGCGATCGTTATCTTCTTCATATTTAAAGTCTTACTGCAATTAACGGGGACCATTTTCAGATAAGAGGCTGGAGAGCTGATAATGGGGCAGGAGAAATGGCTTTCCCACAATACACCGGACTGATTCCAGTCGGGGGCATCAGTGATTGTATTGTGTGAGCGGGACGTGACTTCAAAATGTGTGCTTTGCTGTCGGCCTCCTCTTCTGCAGAATAAAACCATCTCAACACCCTTTATTACTATTTATTTTCACCTGGAAGAATTCCCCCCCTTAAAATAAAATAGCGGACAGGCAGGAGTCCCCTGTGCAAACAGAACAGCTGCTTTCCCAGGGCTGCACCGTGTCCTGCAGGGCCAATCCCTGCATGGGCCTTTAGCGGAGTTGGCCAGCTCTGGGGCAGAACTGAGCCATCGCTATTAAAACCTGGGCTAGAAATAAGAAAATGTACGCGAAATTGATTGCAATGCGGGAAAACTGCAGCGATCAATGTGACAAGGGTTTTTTTTTTTTTCCCCTGGGTAAGAACATTAAAAATGGCATCCTGTCAGCTGAGGAGCTCAGTAAGAGCTGTTCCAGGGGTCGGAGACAAGACCTGAAAAGACACGCTTTGTACCCTCGGGCACAGTTACCTGTCTCTAGTCCCTTCTTCCCCGGCCCCCTCCTTCTTTTCTCCCTCCATTCTTGACCGCCGTCCTTTTTTCCCCCTCCTTCCAAAGAAAGACGCCAAGGCTTGCTGTTTTGCATCAGGTTGGGGGTGGGCGTGCGGGGGGGGGGGGGGGAAGAGGAATTGACTTTTAGTACAATGGATTAGTCTGTTGTTTAGAACTTCTTCTTGGACGTTGGGAAGGGGTGTGTGTGTGTGTGTGTGTAGGAGGGAGGTTTGTGCAGAAACACGCGGACCCACAGACACATGCAGCATGCAATGGCTTCATACGTGTTCCTTAGCTGGGGAGGGGGGTTGGTTATCTGTAAACATTTACTCTTTTTCTTTCATTCATTCATTTTTTTTAACTCGCTGCTTACGGGGCAGCCTGCTCCATTTTACGCATTGTTCCGGTGCGCCTCGGTTGCTTGTTGAGTATTGCCTGCTGATTGTAACTGTAAGGGTTTAGGGAATCTCCATTACTCTGAAGCTGCTGAAAAAACGCAACTTTTAACTCCTGCTAACTTCCTCTCCATTTCTTTCTTGTTCTGTGCTCGTCCTGGCGCTGCTCTAGGCAAGCATTATTCTCAAAACAGCTTTTGAACCTGCTATGGACGTTCCCCCCTTTTTGTGATTCTCTGCCCTTTTGTTTTCAAGGTTAGGACATAAAAAGTGGAAATATATTTTCCAGAGTTTCCCCGCTTCTTTCTTTCTTTCTTTCTTTCTTTCTTTCTTTCTTTCTTTCTTATGTTTGATCTCAGCCACTTTGGTGGGTGGGGGAGAGGAAGAAAGAGGGGGGGCATTTCATAGTCAGCCTTGACCTTGAAGCTTTGGGTCTGGGATTGTTTAGCCTGTTATTAAAAGCAACGGCTCCCAGTTCTGCGCGAAAACAACCAGCTCTGCCCGTAGATATTTGGATTCAGCGTCAATCCCACTCCAGGATTTAATTGCTTCTGATTATGCCCCACCCCCATAACCTCCCCCCACAAACACGCTGCCCCTAGTGCTGGGCAGATCTGCGATGGTGTAATGCCCTGGAGCTCTCAAGCCAGGTATGTCAAGAAGACTAGGCCTGGAGAGAGGCTAGGTATAAATCCCCCAGTGTATACTAGTGTATATGCCCATCACTGAAATAGGTGGCTGTGTACACACCCTTGCCGGAGTTGCTGTGTGAAAGCCATCATCCGATCAGATGCGCGTACATCAATATCTAGCTAACGCTGCTTGGACCCGCATGGGACCGGATATATGTTAGGACACTTCTCCCCATCCCTGTGTGCCCCTCTCCATCACAACCCCCGGTCCCCGCCCAGCTCTGGGCTCTCTCCAGCCCTCTCCGGGTAAGAGACCAGATGAACTGGCCTTTGTCTGACGTTCAGTCTGTACTCGGCGACTTGCTGCCTTTTTATTTTTTTTCCTGGCGGCCATGTGGAGTTGGGGCAACCCGGGGAGCCGAGAGGAGCCGCATTCCTGTGGGTGCCGAGCGGCTCCAGGGCTGAGCCGCAGGGCCTCACACCCACACCCCGCTCCTGACAGTGCACCCACACAGGCGTTCACCCCCACGCAGCCCCACCATGCTCGCCCCTGGAAAGTGCGCGCACACACCCACACCCACCCACACACACACACACACCCCTGCCGCCGCGACACACACAAAGTCCCCGCTTCGCCTCTGCCCTGCAGCGTCCTCCTTGGCACCCGATCGCTCCGGATATCACAGTAACAGAGGGCGGATAAATCGTCCAGGAGCCTCTCTCTGCCGGGCTCCCCTAATCCTGGGTCCCTGCTGGGCTCCCTTATTACAGACAACCCGTCCCCTCCTGACTCCGGGTCACGCGCCGGAATATCTCCCGGGCCCTTTCTGCGGATGGAGAGCCCTTCACCCCTGAGAAATGTCCAAGTTTCCTTCCGGGCACATATACACACGCCAACCTGTCACCACACAAACCCCAGCCAGCGCAGGCAGGCATTTTTCTCGCTTTCACTTCTCTAGGGCTCCCCAGTAAATGATCCCGAGCTGCAACTATTCCTTTGTACAGGCACTCGGGCCTCCAGACGTTACACATTTCAGCTCTGGCAGCACGGATGTGGGAATATATCAGAAAGGGGCTTCGCACATGTGTTATTTATTAAATATTTCTACCACGCAATTTTGCGACTGACAGTCTTTAGGGTGTTCAGTTGTGGATTACAGAACATATATATATTGCTTCAGTTAAATTAAACACACACACACACACACACACTCACCCCTCCTTGCTTTTAGTCATCGGAGCGATGTCTGCAGTAACGCAATAACCTGGTTTTTAGGTCAGACGAGAACCTTGGAGCTAGAAATTGGGTAATTTATATGGAGCCTCCTTTTTGGTAAGGGAGATCCATTGCGACAGCAATTAGATATTTCTGTTCTTTGTTCTGCGGTGCCTCTGTTTACATGTGATTTATGGGGATAAGCAGTATTTTATCTGCCAAACATACATACCTTATTGGGCCTGATCCACATCCTCAGACAAGAAATATACAAACCCGTAAAATACCACACTTTACTACCTTTAACCAAAGAAAAATACCTCCTCAAGACACCACAGAGTTTTCATTTCATTCGGATGAGGAAGCTCAGTTTAGGTTCAGCTGTGCACGGCCAGCCACCAGATTAAATTCTGAGCACAGGGAACTGCAACCTGAAATATGGGCTGCACATCCTAGGATTTCATTGTTTTCTGCCGTTCAGAAAAGCCTGTTATGTGCATAAGACTTCAGTCGATGCGTTTAAAATAGCGATAAGGAAGCCTTTCTAATACAAATTCACTTGAAGGGCCAAATCCTCAGCTAGTGTAAATCGAGGTAGTATCATTGACTTCATGGTTGCTGTACACCAGCTGAGGATCTGGCGCTAAACGTCAGATTCCAGGAAATCCTTACAGTCCCCTTTACATGTACCATATAATGTGTTGGGTAGGCTTCGACTTGTATTATCCCTGATCCTCCCTTTTTCTTTCTACAGGGTATTCTTATTGATTTCCATGAGGAACAGGCGCATACAAATCGCATATTATTAATATTCAGTAACATTATTAACATTCCCAAGAACGAATTTAGTCCTTAAAGGTCATAAATCCACACTGCATTAATCAATTCCGCCCTATAAGGAGCCCAGGACAATGGACTCTGCAGGAACTATAGGAATTTACCTATAGAACAGTTCGAACTCCTTTCCAGGTTTAATACTGAGTGGGACCAACACTATAGGCAAGAAAATACCCCGTTTGCTACCATAAACCTACAGTGATTAACCCAACATCTATTTCCTGGATCGACTTGTTTTAAAAGGCTTAACATTAATACAGTGGTTATTAAAAACAAGCAAACAAACAAAAGCACTTCGATGATTTGGCCCATTAAAAACGAAGCAGGATGGTTTGCTTCACATTCGGGGTTAATATAAACTAATCGTGAGACTAGAGCCAATAGCCCATGGAGTCAACCTGACTAGCTGTTAGGCAGCCGTGATAGTCAGGTTCCTTTGTTTAATTAATTACCATTAAGGCATTCTCTGCTAATTTCCTGTAGGACTCCTGATGACTTCTCCACTGAGTGAACGAGAAAGGGAATTAGGCCTATGGGCTCGATACTCTTGTGCTTTTTCCACGATGGCCAGATAGGATGTAAATTCAATATGGATCTTTTATTATTATTTATTATTATTATTAATTATTATTATATTATTAGGAAGAAAATGGTTCTGTTCCTAGCAAGGTGACGTGCAGATGGTTAAATCATCTGAGAGAAAGCAATCACTCCACTGACAAATTTGCTTTCTTTTGGGGATGGGAGGGACCATAGGAGTGTTTAAAAAAAACCTAGGGAAATACTGCCTGGGACGAGATGAGCTGAGAAAAAGAATGATTTCAGACAGCAGCTAGCAGAAGTATCAGCCCCTGAATGCACAAGAGACTCACACTATCTGAGATTTGGACACGTAACACTGCAGACCACTGATTTGCTATTTTCTTAATTCCCGCTCTTCCTATTCCGTATGAATCAAACAGTCTTTTGTCCTTCAGAGTTTGATTTGATCGCTACTGTTCACATTTCACTTTTGTATTTTTCTCTTCCTATACCATTACTCATTGAGTGCCCCGTGAAATTACAATCCTACATTTTCAACTCAGCAACCCATTTGCAGTGCAAAAATAGGGTCTAAATAATGGCTGAATTAGCCCTACTGGACAGTTTCAGATGTAACACTCTGTAATAATTATATTGCAGCCTGGATTAGGATGCTATTATCATAATCTGGACGTTTACAATTATCTGTAATTTGCAAAGATGCGCCAGGTCTTGATTACAGCAGTTTTTTTTTTTTATCAAGCTAACCATCACTAAACAGTGACAGTAATAACAGCTAATTTTGCTGGCAATATAAGAGGTGCTGGGGTGTGCAAACAATTTCACACCTGGATGTGCTCACTCAACCAAGAATATAGAGAAAGAGCTTCTGCCCTGAGACTGCTTCTGTTCAGTATAGATTTCTAGACCCTGATCATTGCTTAACAGATTTTCACTGGGGGTAAGTTTTTATTTTTTGTATACTTCAACGCACAGTTCATCTTTATCTTTTCACACTTTCGTGGTTACTTTTGCAGTTTTTGTAATTTCTGTCATCCTATTAGACCGCTGTTTCATAGATTCAGAAATCTGTCCTTTTTATTAGTATTTCTACATAGTCGATAGGATTTGAGTTGGTTCAAGTTCTGTGACAATGGCTTTCGCTCCAGAAGCTGGGGACCTATAGGAAATTCTCTTTCTCTAGGTAGGTTTGCTAGTCGGCTGGATAGACGTTCAGAGTGGACTTGGTTTCTATTTAGATGCGTTGGAAGAAGGCTGATCGCTATACCGCAATAACTCTGAGTGTAAATCGTGAGTCCATTTTTTTGAACTGCTAGTCAAAGAGCGCACGATATAGTCATTCAGATCTTTCCCTGATGCCATGTATTTTGTACTCGTGTACCTCGTATTCATTGTCATCAATACACCGTACATTTTGAGAGACAGGCTGTCGTTTTAACCTTGCATTTTAACTCCGAAGATTTGCTTACTGTTATTGCAAAGGCGGTAGAGTTTCTGATCAGGCAAGCACCGTTCCATCTGCAAAGAGGCACATGTAAACTACCCTTTGCCAAAGGTTTGGTTCAAAGCTCTCCCCTTTTATCTGAGAAGGGGTGGGCTTTGAAAGGAGCCATCATTTTATTTCTTGAGGTCCAAACTTTAATGCACCCCAAAGTTTTAGAAGAAAAATGTATTGCTTACCGAATATTATACAAACGTGCTGCTGAACAACCGTTCCGTGAAACCAAAATTGTAGGAAGCCATAAGGAAAGAATACAGAGAGACTTGTTCCAATTCTATCTATAGAGGACGCTGTTTCATGCAACTCTCTTTTGGTGGCAGCTATATAATGTTAGATGACACTGTCTTTGCTATCATTTGCTCACCATATTACTCTTGGAAAGGCCTGTTTGTGTCATCGTACATGTCTGTATTGGGTTCATTGCCTTTTTTTTTTTAAAAGTCTATCCTTGAAATATTCATAAAGTACAAGAAAAATCGTATCATATCTTTCTATGCAGTACTCCACAACGCAATGGCTATTGACAAAGCGTGCACATGTATTTTACACGACAGCAGCAACATCTACTCCAAAATACACCAGTAAAGCTCTTCTGATTCATCATATTTATGGATCACTCACACCGATTAAGTCAGTGGCTAGGAAAGGGTTAAGTATTAGCCCACGCAGTTAAGGGACAACTGCTGTATCTTTGGATGCGGATAGAAATGGTCCTCTTGGGATATAGTATGTGTGAGTGAAGAGATAGATAGATAGATAGATCGATAGATAGATAGATAGATAGATAGATAGATCGATCGATCTAACATACATTTGCAACGTTTCAACTGGTTTAGGATTAACCTGCATAAATAGAGACTAGGTAGATATGCACTGGATTGTCTCAAAAAGAAAAAATCCGGTTGTTTAAATGTATGGTAGCTTTCTCTCTCCCGTAATTTGAATAATTCAGTAAGACCCACTACCAGCTGTACTTCTGAAGCCTCTTCCATTCTTTTCAGCATTATAATTTTGGTTAATTTTCAATTTTAGGTCCTACGTCTCTGCAATTTGTGTATGAATAACAGAATAATTTTCCTCTTTTGTTTCGCCTTTCCTGTTCCTGAATCTAAATAAAGATGGCTTTTTAGTATTAAAAGTGGAAGAAAATTACAGGTAATTATCTTTGACGGTAAAAACGCTGTAATCAGCGGGCTACATGAAAAATTACTCTAATTATGGCTGCATTTAAGAGAATGGAAAAAAACCTTCTTGTGGATAAAAACCTTAAATTGTCCCCAATGTCTGCTTCAAATTGGATGGCACTGCAGCTGGAGGCTTTGTTCAGAATTGATCCTGGGGAGCTCTGAACCCAAAGTTTCACAGTAGGAAGGGGGGGAAAAGAAAAGAAAACATTTTTCTTAATGTAACAATGCGAGTGGTAGAAAATGACAAGACTGATCGGTTTTAAACCATTCTGAAGACTGACTGAGCGTGGAAGTTGCTCAACAAAAAAAAGGAACTCGTATATTGGTAAGTAGTCTTTGCTTTGTGTCTAATTATAGTGACTGTCCTTTTGCACGACTGTATGTAGCTGTCATTATATGGAGCACTCTGAGCATCTCTATTGACTTCTGATAAATGGCTCAGTGGTTTCAAGGTTCATAATTTGAAGGATGCCCAGGTCTCTAGCCATTAATTCTCGCAGTATGGGGCTTGTGTGACGAAAGGACTTTCATTTTCATTATTTCTGTGCTTTATACAATATAATAAAGATATAATTCGCCCTGGTCAGTGCATTGTATACCTATGCACCTTTCAAGCTTTGCAAAATATTGCACAGCTTTAATTGTCTGTCTGTTGATCAAAATCAAAAGGAGGGCAGCTCTTTCTCTCTACCATCCCCCCGCCCTACTTGTGTAGGAAGTAATGCAAAGTACTGAATTTTACTTTGAGATAAACCTCAGATTAAATGACACCATAATGTTTTTTCAAATATTGGAATTACCGAAGTAACGTAGGCTAAGAAATGACCGGGCGATTAGAAACATCCACGATTCTCTTTGCAATACTTACGTATATATTGTCTCAGGTTTATTCTTTTTAAGAAAAATCTTTTCAAGGGTTTGTTGTTAGATATATTGCTCTCTATGTCACAAAATGTGTGAATATCTAGCTAGCTATTTAAGCGGGTGTTCTTTATAATATAGAGAGAAATACAGGACACAGGAACGTTTTGTGGCTTTTACTCTATATATGAAAGAAGACAAAAACATACAAAGTATATTTACAACTAAAATTCAGCAATATATACAGAAAAGGTTGCTCGATATAAACGTCTCTATAGCTTAGTGAATTGGTGAGAATACCACCAATCAAGTACTGAACCTTTCAAAGCCATAGGATGGTTGTTTTGGTGGGTTCCTCCTTTGCCTTTTCCCTCTTAGATTTCAGGGGACTTCGGGAGGGGGAAGTTGGGGGGAGAGATCTGAGGGAGAGACAGTGGTTTCTTCTTGGTTGCTGTCCATTCCATTTTGATAAAGCATGCAGTTTTTGCTTCGTGGTAATGTTTTAATCGTACAGTATATTTTCCTTTTCAAGCACTTTCGCGCCCCCTCCCCTCCAGTCTGGGTTTGGTGAATACAAATGCAGGAGCTTGAATAGCCTCCCTTTCATCATGTAATATCTTTAGCTCATTAAACAAGTAAAAACGTTGCCGGGTATACTCAGGTTCTTCTGGTGGGAAAAAGTCTGTAAAAAGTTTGCTTTGACAGTATACTCCAAAGCGACGAGGCTGGTTCCTTCGAGTCCAAATTAAAATATCCTAAAGAGAAGTGTCTTATGTGCGCCAGCATGGGGAAAAAAAGTCTCTTTCTGTTCAAGATCAATCACTGAGGTTACTAAAAGAAAAAAAACAAAACAAAACAAAACGAAAGCCCCACCTTGTCTCCTTGCCACACATACAAGTTCACACAGAGCCTGTTAAATTGGCACCGTTGGCAAGACAGCGGACTGCTTGCCATGTCGAGACTAGGGCTTCTTGATAGATTATTTCTCTTGGACAATTCACATCATCTGTGGTCTCTGCATTGTGTCTTGATGTGGAGAAGAATACCAGTGAGAATAACCAGGCATGTAGCTGTTGGGAGGCATACTGACTCCCTTGGCAGAAGCTGAAACGTCCCAGACTGGAGGCAGAGCTGGAGACCGCGGGGACAGGGCCGCGGAGCCTGGCAGAGGGTCGCTCTCATGAGGATTGCTGCCCTGCTTTAGCAGCTTCTTAAACTTGGAGCGTTTGTTCTGAAACCAGATCTTCACCTGTAATCAAAAGGCAGAAGAGATTAGGCCGCTGAGGAGCACCTAGCTGACAGCAGGAAGCACCCGAAGGGGGTTATTTTTGAAATATAGAGGGTCCTGAGTTTCCAAATGGTAGGGATGGAGATGTGGGGTCAAGCTGGCATTTTTAGGGGGTTAAACACGCCAGCATTGGAACTAGCCTATTGTTAATAACAGGAATAGTGACGCTGGGAATCGAGATGTAGGTTTTAAAATTGAGTGTCATTTTCTTGTCCAGACCACAAGTAGAGCACAGTAGAATTTATTCTGTTTTAATTTCTCACTCTCTCACCTACCTATGTGTGTACATTTAATTATTTACATGCACAGACATATATATATATATATATATATATATATATACACACACACAGATACAAATACACACATGTACACACACGTGTCATATTCCTCATTCCGTATTTTGGAGGTCGTTTGATCAGTTGGAGAAACTGTGGTCAAACAGAGGGAAGCGTATCACCCTATGCTAGGAGACCCACTAATAGTCAAAGGGCATCTTAAAAGTAAAACCTGAATCAGACAATTTGTACCACCAAGCTGTCCTTGTTTATATCCTTGGGGAAGGGGCTGACTAGAGCAAGTGCTTTATCTTCATTTTAAAACCAATTTTGCATGGAAATTGCCTTTTCAGAACGAGCAACTGATATAAATCATCTTGGGTCGCATCCTGCCCTCTCTAGACAAGTAAAACTCCCCTAAATTGAGTTTTCCCTGCATGGCGTCTGCAGGATCGGGCCCTCCATGTTCAAAAGATATATGGGTGTAATTTAGAGATTCAAACTCTTGATCCTGCAACCCTAGTCTTTATGCAAGGCTACTATCTCAGTGGGACTACTCGTTTGTCTGTAGATTTTCAGGATCAAGCCCACATCTTGTGTGTGTCAGAACAAATGCCATTTGTACAATAAGCAAACATATTTTCAAAATTCATATCCGCTCAAAATTCATATCCGCTCATATCCGCTCAATTGCCCAGGTAAGCTATTGTTGCCAATTGCAATTATAAAATATATACATTATTTATTAAAGTCATAAATGCACATAAATATATTTTAAATGAATTGATAGTATTTATCCATTTGCTTTTCTACTAACCCCTGCTTGTGAAGTCTGTAATGCCACCATGTGTCTTTCAAGCTTAAATTAGCCAAGCTAGGACAGCTCCACCAGCCACTATTAACTATGGCTTAACATGCTATAATTTTGTACACGGTTGTCTTTGATCTTCAGATCTATTATCACCTTTTGTACATTTTGCCCAAGGGTAATCACTGCATTTGAGTTAGTCATCCAGGACGAATTAACTATTGATTTTACAGGTATTTTCTAATGCGCTCTTGCTTTCTCTGTCTCTATAGGTTGCCACGATCTGGCTTTTTATTTTTACCTCTGCCTCAGGCCTAAGGTTTTCTTGCCTTTGTTTTGTGCTCTTGTCACAACTGAACAATTTCATGTTGGTGCAGTAATTATTTTGAGCCATTTATTTTTTCTATTTGTGCCATCAAAGGGTAAAATTTGATAACTAGTCGGCAGGGGAAAGTGCAGATTCAGTCAGTTATTTCAGTAGTAAGCCAGTTACTTTGTACTGTGTAATAAGATAACTCACATCACATTTGGCATAGTAGTAACATGTGGGTTACCTTTTCTACTATCATGTACGTGCGAGTGAAGATCTCTCTTTGGTTGGCCTTGTATTGTCTGACCAGGATTGCAATGATTTGGGTTTCCCATAATTTACCTGTGTCTGAGTAAGTCCTAAGGAAGCTGCCAGTTCAGCTCTCTCTGGAAGTGCCAGGTACTGAGTTTGCTGAAAGCGATGATTTAAAGCCTGAAGTTGTAAACTCGAATAAATGGTTCGAGGCTTCCGTATCTTCTTTCCTTTTCCATTGAATCTGATTTCACCGTTTTCAATCACTGTTGTTTTTTGCTGATCTGCAAGCAAGCAACACATTTGAAATGTCACCACCGCAGAGAATGCAGAGAACCCTCCTTGACTGTTTAACTTGGGCATTTTGTTGCTCTCTCCCCCCCCCCCAGAACAGCCCGCATGCAATAATCCCATTGCTGTTTCAGTCCCACTGGCATAGTATGCACACGGTCTGAGTGCCTAAAGGCATCACACCGGAATACCTCTTATTAGAATAGTGCGAATCAGCGGACATAAAGAAGCCGTGCCTGTGTGCTGGATGGCTTGTTTTACTTGCAAAAACACAGTATTTGTTTAATGAATGGATTGCTAGCTGCCTGGCCATTTACACTGCTAATTGACTTAATGTCGCCAGTTTGGTGGTCAGTGAATCACCAGTCGCAGTTTTAACAATGCTTTTTTACCCCCTCAGATCAGTACATAAAAATAATCTGCTAACTTCGGGGGGAGGGAATCACAACAAACTCATCTTGAAACTTTCACTCATCAGGTGTTTACAGTCATTTGCCTAATGCCGATCCCCTTGCCGAGTGTCACAAAGGAGCAACAAACATTGTCTCGTACCCCTTAGCTGAGGCTGGGATCACCGCAATCTACAGCATTGCTCCCCAGCCGTAAAGAGGCGGCTGCAGAAGCAGGGCGCTTGGTGAAATGCAAATGGCCAGTTTCACGTTAAATTTAGCTGAGCAGTAGGCCAGCGCTCGGAGTGTATTAATGGGCAACACAAACAAACAAACAAACACACCCACACCTCAACAGTCCAAACCCACCGCCAAAGAGCGCTCTCGGGATGGAGAGATGGCAGCAAAGCAAGGAAGGGCTGTTGACATCGCCCTGGGAAATAGACGCCCCGGGCTTTATAGCCCCACGAAGAGATGTGCCCCCCTGAAGGCCACCCAGACCGGGATGTCCGCATAGACACGCATAGCTATAGGGACCGTCTGCAATGCATAAGCCGGCTCCTGCATTTGCATGCCATGCACACCGCTGCACCCCCCCCCCCTCCCAGGGCGAAGCGAAGGGAAAGCACCGCATTGTGCAAACACGCGAGCCCCGGCTGCTCCGGGGCCAGCGCCGGAGCCGGCCCCCGCAGGCTGGCGGCGGCGGCCGCGGCGCCCGGCCGCAGGAAGGAGCCGAACGCGAGAAGAAAGCGGCCGCGCTCACCTGCATCGTCCGCCCGCGTCTGGCTGGCCGCGCCGCTGTTGTGGTAGGGCTGGAGGTAAGGGCTGTGCTGCGAGTGGCTCATGTAGGGATAGGCGGCCAGCGAGCGGGGGTTGTAGGAGTTGCCGCTGGCCGGGTAGGGCGCGCCGTGGTGGTGGTGCTGGTGGTGCGGGTGCGAGCCGGCCGCCGAGTGCAGGCAGTGCAGCGGGTAGTGGGCGCCCGCCATGGCCGGCGAGCTCTGCTGGGAGTGGGGCTGCGGCGGCGGCGGCGGCGGCGGCTGCGGCGGCTGCTGCTGCCCGAACTCCATGAAGGCGGATTTGGAGGAGTCCTGCGCTTCCAGCCCGTCAGCCATCGTAGTCATGGTCATCATCAAAGTTTGGGAGTGAGAGAGCGGATCCCTCCGGCTCGCCCCCCGCGCGCTCGCTCTCTCCCCAGCCACCTTAGAGCCTATTATCCTGCGCTGGGAATTAGTGAGGTGGCTTTTTTTTTTTTTTTTGGAGCGGGGGGGGGGAGAGCAGGAGTGAGAGGGGCCTTGTTCCCGGAGGGAGGGGTGAGGGGAGGGGTGTATAAGGGGGGGCTAGTCCTGTGATTTTTTCCCTCTCCTCTTCCCCTCCATTCCCCCCTTGGTGGTGGCTGGGGGGGGTGTTGTTTTTTTGGGGGGGGTTGTTGTTTTTGTTTTTTGGCTGGCGGAGTTTAAAGCGGAGATTTTCGAAGGTGGATGCTGGTAAAGTTGAGCTTCTGCTTTTAGACTTGAGGCAGAGACGCCACAAGTCGAATGGTTGGTCTCCAAAGGGCAGTGCCTCCCCATTGGTCAGTCAACCCCTGACGTCACCATCCCGGAGGCTGCGACTGGCGTCTGTGCGAGCTCGAGCGGAGCCCGCTTTCGGCAGCTCCAAAGCCCGGCTCGAGCGCGGCGAGGCGGCGTGCGCGCGCGCGCCTGCCTTCCCCTGCCGCGGAGCTCTGCCGCTCCCCGCCAGCCAGCAGCCCCCCAGCCTCTGCAAACGCAGGCTTCCTCGCCGCTCGCTTCCTCCGAGCCACCGATGAGACAAAAGGCGTGTATGCTGCTGTCACGGCGGGCATTTTTTGCTCGTGTCGTGTGCATTGTCGAGCCAATGTAGCAGATAGCCAAGTGTAACGCAGCTACTAACCTACTAAAGGTATTTCAGTCCATCTGTACAGCCCAGAGTTGAAATGCACCTTAGGTTTCCCTTTCCTGTACTTGAAAACACGCAGTAAACACGAGTGACAAGGAAAATTTAAAAGTGAAAAAACAGAACCCAAGTGCATGCTCCAGCGCCTTGTTCCTCCTGGGACTCGCTCCTTATTGATCAAGACAATATTTTCAATATTTTAGGAAGAGCAGCAGCCTGCTCACTGCAGCAGCGAATCGTTGGAGATCTGACAGTTGTGCATTTTTTCCTATTGAAAACAGAAGCTACTGTAATGCTTTCAAATATATGCAAATGATACATGCGGTTAGTGGTTTGGCAAATCTTGATTACAATATAAACTACCCAAGAAAAAGTGCCTTCCTCCTAAATTTGTCTTTAGATTACAATTCCAGTTGATTTTATTTTATTGTCAACATTGTTAATGATAAAAATAGAGACGTTTTACGGTTATTTTTACTTTCTGGAAGGAGGCAATTAGACGTCTAATCAGGAATACACAAAAATCTCCCATGATTAACTGCAGTACTTTGTTCAAATTGCTGCTATAAAATTCAGAACAATTTGCCTGTAATGATTATGGACTGGATTTATTTTGGGAGGTGGAATAAAAGTGGATATAGCATAAATTATCCTCTAATTATACACCAGTGTCGCCTCAATTATCCTCTTATCAAAATGGTTGTCTAACTGCCGCATTTAGTTTCAATTCTCTCCTTTTTTTTCTATAAAAAGAACTTCATACCTTGTTATTATTAATCCATTTATTATTTGCTAGGGGATTTATATCTGAACATCCAGGTGGTATTACCACTTCTCTTCCAAAGATGGACTGGGGAAAGACATTTAGTTTTAACCAGCACTGTTGTGGATCTATCTTTTTTTTTTTTTTTTTTTTTGCTTCCCCTGTTTAAATCTCCTCGCGTCCAGCTAGAGAAAGCATGAACTCCAGAGCCAGACCCTACCGAAGAGGACCCAGGTAGAGAAAGAAAGGAGACGTGCAACTGGTTAAACCTAGAGAAAGCTGAAAGTTCTGTAGATTGGGAAATGGGATCAATCTTCGGGCTTTGAAAACCACCAGCAGCCGCAATTTGCAAAACAACTTTCAGGATTAAGCCCAGAAACGTATCCAAAACGAAGTACATGTCCTGACACTATCTCTCAGAGCGACATTTCCAGGGGATTTGTTTCGAACCTTTGCAGAATATTTAAAAACGCATCGCTTTTGGAAACATCAAGAGGGATTTAAAAAACAAACAAACCGTTGCTTTGCTTCTCAGCACGGTTATTAGCCCTAGGAAAGAGGTGGAAGTGGTAGAACGTGATCTCACCATTTGCATATTGCACCGTACATGCAGTCGATGGGTTTAAGATATTTTTCTCCACTCTCCCCCCCCCACACCCGGTGCATAGCCCCTAATCTCTCGACGTTTATAGTGCAATCTGATCATTTGGGGGAATTGAGGGGGGGTGTCTTTTTTTTTTTAGGGAGGCCGGGATGTTTTATTTCCCCCCCCCCCCACCACATCGGTGTTCAACTTCTTGAGCCTCTGGAGTCGGTTCAGTAACTCTGAATGCAGTTGTAAGTGTCTCGCTTTTGCTCTCCTCTTTTAACAGGAGTTCCACGTTAACACGCGAAAGGGTAATCCGATCCACGCGTTTACAAGTCTACAATGAATAAAAATGTTCATAGTAATACAGAGAGAGAGGAAGACAAGGGAAAGAGCGGACTATAACATTCGTGCTCCAGCCTCCAGTTCCTATTGGGACTCTTGATTCATAGGGTGTAGGTAACGTACTCAATAGGAACAGGTACATTTGGCAGTTTTATTGCTTTATACCCTCCAGCCTGTTGTTAACATCAAGAAGGCGTTTTTCTGCAGGTGCGCATACTACCATTTTCTCCACGCTTTTCGGCAACAGCAAGAGCATGCATGACAAAAGATGTCAGACAACGGGCTAAGAATGCATTCTTCAGCACCTTGTTTGGAAGGACTCTGGCTGCATACTGTATAGCTCTGGATTAGAGCCTGCGACAGGTGGAACGCTTTACATATTTTTTTTAGTAAAATCTACATGCCACGCTTAAGAAGGAACTAGACATCCTAGTCCTGAAACAAATAAGCAAAACAAACAAACAAACAAGAGACAGGAATAGCCTAAAGTAACTGCTTCATGGATAGGCAACCTAGGGGTATAGCTGTGTTTCATCTCAAATCTTGGGCTAAGTGACGGGTGTGCACCTGTACGTAGAACACAGAGGGGAGTGTGTGTGTGTAGACTTTCACGTTAGAATAATAAAAGAATACAGGAGTATAAATAACAATAAAAGTATAAAGTATAGATATACTTTTTATTTATTAGTGATTTATTATTGCTCACGGTGTGTATACACACACACACACATTCTCAAGGTGTATATCTAGATATAGATTACGATGTCCCTTGAGCAATTTACAGAGTAAAGACTGGCATTTTCTATAGGAGGGTTGAATACATCAAGCCGTATACTGGTAATTTCCCCCAATTTAATTAGGCAAATGTGTCAGTATGGAGCGGGCGCTTTTCAGGGTTGATTGGCTGATGTTAATAACTCTTGACTAAAAGGAGCGATTGTGGTTGTAAATATTGATTGTTTTCTTTTTGTCCTCGAGTTCGGGGGGACCACACCTTTAGGGAGTGGAGAGTGCTGGGGGGGGGGGTTGTTGTAATGCCGCACAAAAGGGGTGTGTGTGTGTCTTTTCTTTCCTGAACTCTGGTTTCATCGCCGGCAGGAGCTAGGCTGCGCCTCTCTCGCCCCATTGTCCCTGCGGCCCCCACTGCTTCAGGGTGTCCTCTCCCCCGCAGAGAAGGGAGGGCGATGCCTGCCCGGGAAGGGACCTCTATTATTCTAAAGGGGGGGGGGGGCGGAAGGCAATTTGGAGAAGATTGGATGCCGAAGCCTTTCGGGGGGGAGGGGAGGACGGGAGAGGAGAGGAGGCAGGTGTAGATGATATTTCTTCTCATACGGAAAGGCAGGATTTGAGGCCTAAGCTTTTTGGGGGGTGGGAAAGAAAGAAAGAAAGAAAGAAAGAAAGAAAGAAAGAAAGAAAGAAAGAAAGAAAGAAAGAAATTTCTGAAAAGGGCTCTCACACTAATTTCTGTCTCAAACAAGAGTCTTGAACCGAGAATCTATCTCTTTATCATTGAGATGTGTGTGTGCCCTTCAATGTGTTGTACGAAGCTCTCTCTAGTAAAGCAGAGAAGTGGTTGGTTGCCAAGTTGGGCTCAGTTAACAGGTTGGTTCTAAAGAAATTAGACCTGTATAAATAGCCTTTGAATTCACAGAAATAACTTGGTATTAATTTACCTGGTCACTAAAGAATCAGATGCTATGGGAAAAGCCTTCATTTCTTTCTAGTATGGACTTCAAGTGTTTGAAAATATATCAAAAATCAATAAGCAAATCGTGAATCCGCACAGAGAAAGAAATCCCTTGCTCCCAAACCTGAAGCAAAGACAAGTTTGCTCTCCTTTCCAGATACTCTCCGGACTGAGGTGTGCAAAGTTAGTTTTGATGGGTTGTGAGAGGGTCTAGCCTCACTAGAAAAGCTCTTCGTACATTTCAGTCCCTTGTGGAACTGTTCAAGATTTCGACTTTTTTTTTCAGTAGACATCAACTGGGTTCTCTGGGATTTAGACAAAAGCTAAAGAGCCACTTTTAAATATCATCACCCGTTAACAAATATTTCCCAAAAATGAAAAGCAGCAGTTAATCATTAATGATCTTTCTTCTAATTGTCTGGCTTGTGTACATTTCTTTTGACTGCCAAATTCGAGCTCCCGAAGCAAGGTAGAAAGACCAGTTCCAGAAAATGTTTATTCACGGCCACAAACCCCAAACTACAACCAATTTCAAAGGTTTAACCGGCCTTTAGTCAATAGTAGGCCAACGCTGATTTCATTGCAGCTTTACCGAAACACAATGACTTTCATATAATAGAAATAAAATGCATTAGGCATGTGTGATGCCACTGTATTTGAAACATTAAGTTAAATGCCTGGCAAGTTGGCATTTTAAAGAGAGATGTGTTGTTGTTGTTTTCAGAGCGGTACTGGCAGCTAGATGGAAAAATAACTCAGTGCTATCTAGAAAAGTCCACCATGGAATTTAGGCCTTAAGAAACAGAAAATAATTAATTGGAGAGAAATGGATGATGTACATTCATTCTTACACATATGCAAACACACACACTATCCTCATCTGCATATGCACGTATGAACATACCGTGTATACATCTGTTTATAGTTTTTTAAACGAAAATGTAAAGCATGCAATACTAACAAAGCCACTTCTCTCTCTCCTATTTTATTTTATTTTTACGTTATTTTAAGTCATGTTTCTTTGCCCACAAAAGCTACATGTAACACAACGGACACAACCGGTTGAAGGAATTGACAACAACAGGAAACAGGAATCTATTTTTAGGGTATAATATGGAGTTATATAATCAGCCAGAGTCTTCCTAAATGCCTCCAAGCATCTTCTGTTTCATTCATTCATTCATTCAACAACACCAAAGCAAAACAAAACACCACATTTGTATTTCTTATTCTTTTTCTTTACACTAAGGCTTATTCTGACAATATAGGGATGGATTTCTGAGATTTATTCTCTGCTGTATCAGGGACCTAAAATCCAGAAGCTTTTTGTTTGTTTGTTTGTTTATTGTTTTGAAATGGAGTCTTTAATTAGTTTAAACTCCTAAGCATGTAAAAACAGACGCTAGCTCAATGACCATTTTAGACCCTCTTATTGTAAAAAGGGCTCAAAGCAGTTTTCTATGCATTTTGGACATCGGCGCACCCCCCCATAGGCCAACAACCGAGATGGTAAACCCTCATCAACACATACAAACATGGACACATTTTGAGCTAGGGAATTATTTACCCAAGAATTGCTGGAAAAGTCAGATAGGAACTAATTTTATAGAGCTATTATCATGTGTATTTTCTAGTTATCAGAACAATGCATCTAGTTACTTAGTTTCTG